GAAGTTCTCTTTTTGTGTCCTCATTTATGAGACTGGAAGAGGATGAGGAGGGCTTCTCTGAGGAGGTCTGGTCCAAGGGTGGAATGGGACTGTGGTCGGCGTCAGGAGGTGGGTGTGCTCACCTCTCGGATTATGCTCAAGGGTCCCTGGTCCCCTGCATGGACGGCATAATGACCGAAGATCGTCTAAATGAAGTTAAAGCCGGTAAGTTGTGCCCTGTGTTGGTGAGGTTGCAGGGGCCGGTGAGAAGATGAGTAGGCTCACAGTGGGTTATAAGGAAGGGCAGGGGTCCGAAGGCAAGGGTTCTCGACTCGATCCAGTTGTGCTAGTCTTTGTCCAAGCAGGTACATGGTGGATACCGTGGGGTCACCAAGACACAGAACATAGCCCACTCTAGGGGAGCTTACAGTATAGGAAACCAGGATCAGAAAACCAGACCAAAAAAAGCATCTAGTGCAAGGCAAATGGTGCAGACTCTTAAGGGGGTCAGATTAATTTAGAAAAATGGGGAAGCTGATAGGAGCATGAAAGTAGGCTGGGGCGATTTAAGAAGGCTTCCTGGAGGAAGCAGGTTTTGCTTCAGGCTTTAGAAGGTATGATGAATTTGAAGAGCTAGGAGGTGCCTAAGCCAAGGCATGGAAGTGAGAAAAAAGGTTGAGGTGTGAGACCTATGCGGGGACCTGGTCTTAACAAGTGGCCTCTCTCCACCTCATGACTCAGCTCTGGAAAACTTGAGACATGACCCAGAAGCATCAGTGTGCATCTGCGCAGCCCAGGCCCAGGACAACATCCTGGACAGCTGCTGGAGGAACTCCTGGCGGCTGCCGCACGGGAACACATGGGTATGCAACCCGGCCACCACCCACCGCTGGAGCCCAAGCTGTGAGAACCTGCCCACTTCCCACCAGCAGCGTTCCTGGATCATGCAGGCACTGGGGTCCTGGAAGATGTCCTTGAAGCAGTGATGTCCCTGAGCCCCCAGCCCTTCCCAGGGGAGGCCACAGCCCCAGCCATGCTCATCATAAATGCCATGTGGCTTACCTCTCTCCCCTGAGTATTTATGTCCTCGTGGAAGATGCCCTGGGGTCTGGAGCAGTCATAGCTCTGTGCGACAAATCTGTGAGAGGAGCATGGCCTTCATTGTTGACTCAGGTGACATTTACGACTCACATAGGCTGTTTGTCCACATTTTATAAGTGGGAAGCTGAGGCTCAGAGAGGTAAAGTGGCTTGCTCCAGGCCACAGAGTAAGTCTGCTGGATGTCTCAGTTTCCTCTCCCTCACAGGAAGACTATAAGAACAAACAGAGATGATGATTCAGGTGGCTTTTGGGAGAGTTAAAAAAAGAGACTCCTCTTACCCTGTGACATGACGCATATCCCAGAACCCTGATCTCTGAGTCCCACCCTTGAGTCTTTGCTCAGAGATTGGCCACCACTCATTTGGGCAACATTCACTGAAGATAACAGACATGAACAAGACCCAGCTCCAGGCCCTGATACAGTGGTTCCTCACCGTTGGTGATTTTGACACCCAGGGAATATTGGACTTTTGACTGTTACATCTTGGGGAAGGAGATGCTATTGATATCCAGTGGGTAGAGGTCAGCAATACTGATAAATATCCTACAATGCACAGGAAAGTTCCCACAGTGAAGAATCATGTATCTCAAATTGTCAAAAATGCTGGGGTTGAGAAACTTTGTACTAATGGAAATGTCAGAGATATGTAGAGACACCAACAGCCCAGCAGGCCAGTGCTGTGATTAAAGAAAGCATGGGGGCTATGAAGTTTAGAGGAGATATATAGGCCAGCTTGGGGCTGGGGCATCAGAGAAGGCTTCCCAGAGACCATATTCCCCTCCAGGGGGTTTGGAAAGATGACCGCATGGTGTCTGTGTATAGAGGACAGCAGTGTACATGGGACCAAGGCCCAAATGGCAATAGGTAGGTGCAACAGAGCCCAGTGGGAGGGGAGTGTTAAGGAGGGAGACTTCATCCAGAGAGCAGTGGGAAGACATGGTGAGGAGGGGAGAGGCAAAAAGGGGAATGATGTGGGCAGATGGCTGCTTTAGAAATCTCCCCGCTCACAGGGATATAGGAGCCCCCAGGCACTGCTGGTGGGAGGTAGATGGGTACAGACATTCTGGACAGGAATCTGTCTCTTTTTAGACATACCAAGTTTATGTATAGCCATGACCTTGCAATTTTACTCATGGTCACACATCTCAGGGAAATCTTTTCACAGGTCCATAAAGAGAGATGTATGAGGAAGTCTATCACAGTGTTACTTGTGGTGCCTAGGAGGGAGGCATCTGACTATCCATCCTCAGGGAGTAAATGAGCACTGTGACATTCCACACAGCAGTTAGAGGTAGTGAGGTACATGTAGCATCATAGATGGGACATAAAACCTAGTGCTGAGTGAAAAAAGTTTATTTATTAAAAACATATGCCCCAAAGAAGTTGCACTTTGTAAGAACACTTACAAATGGAAAATGCACATGAAAACACATTGAGTGGTGGGAGGGCATAAGGAGGAGGGCACTGGGACATAAAGGGGAATAAATAAAAAAGGGAGCAGAAGAAAGCCTACTCTTAATGGAACAAAAAGGCAATGGGCGAGGGTTGTGTGGATATGAACACGGGTAGGGAGACTTGGCTGGAGGCTTCAGAGGGGAAGCGGAGGCAGTGCTGGGCTGCAGTGTGGGATGGAGAAGGTGACCAGACCTGTGTGAGATTAAAGAAAGAAAATTTTCAGAACCTAGTGGTTAGTGGAGGAAGGGGAGGAATAGCAAGGCACCGAGGATGGTGCTCAGGTCTCTGGGTGGATGACTGGGCCAGCAGTGTTCCCCCACTGAGTGATCTCTCAAACCAGCAGCAGGTTTGGTAAGGGATGAGTCCAGTCTGGATGTGGAGAGCTTGAGGGCCTTGCGTGCCATGCTAGTGGAGATAGCTACCAGGTGGCTGGCTGTACAGAGGAGGAGCTCAGCAGTGGGATCTGAGATAAAACAGTTTTGGGGTTCATTTGTGTATAGGGGTAAGGTGAGATTCCCCGGGTGAGTGTGTAGAGTGGGAAGAGACATAAGCTTGAAGAGCACCTAGGATCCCATAAAGTAGACCACATAATCATTCTCCAATAAATGGTAGGCCAAGGCTTTCAGGATCCTGGTCCAAAGAGAAAGTAGGAAAAGGGGGTATAACCTTTTTCATTGCCAAGAATATTCACAAGCATCATCTTCTTTGCATCTCACAGTAGCCATACAGAATTATTGGAAGGGCAGGTAGGCTTCATTGCCCACATTTGACAGGTGAGGACAGGGCTCAAAGATGGTGGGCTTTGTCCAAGGTCTCAGAGGGGATCAATAAATATGTGGGTCCCAAAGGTTTCCCACCCGTGTCTGAGCCCTTTCTACCTAAACTCACACTGCTGCTTTCATTGGCCAGAGCCCAGGTCCGGGGCTGGCCTTGACACACGACAGCTGCCATATTCAGGGTCTGGGTGGCCTCAAAGCTCAACAGAGGCTGATAGGCTCAGTTACTGGCCAACGCCTCCGAGTAGTCTTGAGTTGGAAGGGTTAAAGAGCACTGGGCAAATCACTTTCCTTTTCTGAGCCTCTTCTATCACCTATAAAATGGGTTCTTACAGAATTTTATAAGAATCAAATTAAAAAATGGAAGCAAAAGGGTTTAGTAGGCTCTATACTCAAGAAGAGAAACGATAATGAAGAGGAGAATAAGAATGGGAAATGTGGTTAAGGGAGCAGGCTAGAGGAGGAAAGGTGGAAAATGAAGCTTAGGTTTGGAAGAAAGGAACCAAATGTTCTGTTACGTGCGGGCGAGTTAGAAGGGAAAGACACAGTCCTAGCCCTGGAAGGCTCGTGGCCTTCCACATGTCATCTTTTGCCTTGCTGTCAGCATGCTGAGCTGTTGCACACCTCCACGTCTCTCTGCACATGGGCTCCCAATGCCTGAAATGCCCAACTTCCCTGCAGCCTCCATCCATTTGCAGAGACCTTCCTCATCTCTGTTCTCAGCTCTGCATTACCTCCTCAGTGAAACCTCCCTGTTCCCCTCTCCTGTAACGCAGACCTCTCTGTGCCTCCACTGTGCAGATTTGTGTTTAAGCCCTGGTTTCGACTGGTCTGCAGCCTGGCTGCCTTTCCTTCTAGATAGATCAGGCTGTGGGCTACCCTAGACTGTAACACTCAATGCAGGGCCTGGCAGCCATTTGCTGGGTAACCCAGTGGCTGAAGGAAGACACATCTGGCCTGGAGACCTTGTTTTCATCCCAGTTGTGGGGATAACGAGTGGTTAACTTCATAAATAGACATGTCTGATCACATCTCCTTTCCTTAGAACTCTCCCAAAGGTCCCATTGCACTGAGTAATACCCAAGTCCTCAGAATAACGGTCCATTAACTCTCCCACTTCACCGTCTTTCTCATTCTCCTCCAGCACCATCTCCTCAGTGCCAGCTCCCCAGCTGGGGCTCCGCCCTGCCTGTTCCCTCCATGAGAATACTCCCCCATCCCACCTCCACCCCCAACCATACCCTGGCCACTCCAGGCCTCCTCCTCTGCTTGAATGCCTGTCTACCAGCTTAAAACTTTTCTCCCATAGCTTTTGCTACCACCCGACAAACTCTCATATCTTATTTATTTACTGTCTGTCTCTCCTCACAACCTTATTAACTCCAGGAGCACAGGGATTTTATCTGCTTTGCTCACCACTGTATACCCAGCGACTACAACAGGCCTGGAACCCAGAAGGAGTTTAGGAAATATGTGATAACGGGCTGAACAAATGAGCTGAGGTTTCAGAGATAGTCGGGCGTGGTGGGGTGCTGAGTTTATTCACCATTCGGGGGCCTGGGCTGCCGCACAGCTGCAGGGAGGGCGGGGCGGGGCTGGTGCCTGTAGGGGGAGGGGTGCAGCCAGGTCGGCCACGCCCCCAGAGCTGCGGAACCCGAGGAGCGTGGGCCGGCGTCGCCCGGAGGATTGAAGGAAGAGAGCCCGCGCCGCCGGAAGTTGCAGCGCCATTCCGAGTGCCGGGACTGTGGCGGGACAGCCGAGGACCCGCCATGGAGCAGCCTGAGCTGGAGGCTATCTCTGATGACGCCATGGACTCGTTCTTGGAAAAGTTCCAGAACCAGCCTTACCGAGGAGGCTTCAACGAGGACCAGTGGGAGGAGGTGGGCAGGCCCCGGGGCGCTGCACGTGTGTGGGGTGTCCTGCGCACTCGGGCTCCAGGCGCGGAGGCACCTCCCTCAGTCCCCGACCCCTTGCGCTACTAGCAGATAGGTGATTTCTGCTTGAGTGTTAAAAGTCAGCCTCAGGGGTTTCAGGGTTTTAGTATGCCAGTACATTTAGAAGTCTTGGTTTTGAGGTCAGACGGATCTGTGACTCCACCACTTATTGGCCCTGATACTGGGTCAGTTACTTCCTTTAGCGGTCTCTCGGATCTATAAAATTGCCCTAACTATAGCACCAATCTCGTAGGATTGTGGCGAAGATGAAATGAGATGGTGGGTAAAGTGCCAGGAACATAGAACCTTCCATTAATGGTAATCACTACGGGTCTTGTAAGAATGTGATAAAAGGTAGAATTATTATTTTTTTTTTTTTTGGAAGAATGTTTAGAGATCATTATCCTACACTTTAATTTTACAGATGGGAAACTGAGGCCTGGATAGGGAGAGATATAGCCAATCATGATGATTTGCAAATTATGATAAGAAAACTTTGATATAGAGACATGGAGTTGGATCTACTCAATGGAAAATCCTATTTGTATAGTCCATTCTTCTCTTAACAATCCCTAGGAATTCGAAAAGATCCCTCTATTTATGAAGAAAGCGCCATCAGATATTGATCCCGAGGAGAATCCTGACTTGGCTTGCCTCCAGTCAATTATTTTTGATGACGAGCGATCTCCAGAAGGTATCTTCCATCATTCTAACAATTTGTGTCTCCATTAATTTGAGGTAAAGAGTGATTGGAAAAGTTCTTATTGATAACAAGTAGTAGTTAGCCTGAGCTTACTTGTAACTACTTATTCAACATATACTTCTTTGGATACCTAGTAAATGCTAGGCATTGGAGATGGGGATGAAGAAGACTGCCCTCAAAGTCATGCTCCAATGAATATACAAATTGTCCTAAAGAATCGGGACAAACGTGTGATAGTGCCAACATGTAACTATAGACTTGGTGCGGCTGGAACACTGAAGGCGGAGAGGTAGGAGTGGACTCATAATGGATCAGAAATCATTCCAGGGAATAAAACAACATGAACACAAGCAGAAATATAATTACCCCCATTTCTTCAGTAATTAAAAAAAAAAAAGTTCTTTCTAAAAGGATAACTATGCATTTTTCTATTATGTTTCTTTTTTTGTAAGCACTTAATAATCTACTTTCTAAGATATTTGGAATTGATTGTAGCATTAAGTACACATAATTTTGTCCATGTTGATACCCAGTTTTATAGTATTTTGT